TATATATATATATATATATATATATATATATATATATATATATTCTACTTGTAAATACTAGCGAAACTCAACGTAATAATACGTAGTTACAGGAGAATTAAATATTAGCTTATGTAAACAGGTCGGTGAATTTTTTCACTTATTCGCTGGGTGCGTAAGGCATAGTGGGGGACACAAAACTGATGTCAGCGTCCGCTGCGGACAATACAGAACTAAGGGTGGCTCTTTATTACTATAAGCTATGAAAATAACACGTGTGTTAGTTTAATTAAATAAATAAAATATAATGGGTCATCAAAATTGTTGTGTAGTTGATTGTAAAAATACTAGTAGAAATAGTAATTGTAAATTTTATAAGTTTCCGGTTGCCAATTAGAAATTAAATCAGCGAAAAAAATGGATAGCTGCTGCTCAACATTTCTCATATGTTCAGCCAGGACTAAATTTTTATCCTTTAGTAAAGTTTGTGGTTAAAAAATAATATTATGGGTAATAAATTGCAAAATTAAATAAAGAAAATAAAAATTTAAGATACATTCGTAAATATATAATTATGTTAAATAGCTATTCGTTATTTTTTATATAATTTCAGATTGTTATATATTTAATATTAATACTGATTTTTCATTTAATATTAATTTAATAATACTAAGGTTTGCCGACATTTAAAATTTTTTAATTATTTTTTATTTATTAAATGAAAACTAAAAAATATTTTTAAAAAATTGCACTGATAGTTTTTCGAGTTTTTCAGAAGTGAAATTTTTTATTTTCTTTTTTTTGTAATAATAATTTTTCAATGAAAAAAATTTCTAAAAGTTTTTAGATGTCGGCTAACTTAATTTTCATATTAATTTAACAATAAACACCTTGACAGATTTTAACACTCATTATAACCTAATTCACTTGAGATTTGTTTTAGTTATTGTGTTTATATTTTCCTTATTACTATTTCTAACTGACCCAAGAAAAAATTTTTACTTTAATTTACATTCTGTGTAATATGTCACATTTTACATAGAAAAAAATTTTTTCAAGTTTATTTAATTGTTTAAATAACTATTTGGCATCTAATACATGTAAATTTTCTTAAAAAAGCCACCGTAAGTTGTATCGTTAGGTGGCGGTGGGGTCACGCACCCAGCGAACAGTCTTCACTGAAGAAAATAAAGTTAACTGACATAAAAATTTTTTCATTTGTTAAAAACTTCAAAAAGTATAAGTGCAATTTTTTAAAAATATTTTTGTTATAATTTAATAATGACATTAAAGTTAGCAGTTACTTGACCGTTCTTCAATTTTTTCCAAAAAATTATTTTTAAAAAATTGCATTTTTTATTTTTTTAAATTTCTACGTGTCATTTTTTTTTTCTACTTTATTTTGCCATAAATTATTTGTTAAAAAAATTCTTAAAATTATCAAATATCTGCTAAATTAATCTTCATAATTTAATAAATTAAGCAAAATAAAAAAATCAAAAATGTCGGCTAACTTTATTATTATTCTTCACTGAAGAAATCAAAGTTTCAATTTTATCTGATAAGTCAAAAGTAAATAAATTTTAAAAACTTACACTCTTACTTTCTTCCCTTTCTATTCCCGTTCAGCGGCCCTTGGACCGGATGGGAGTTTAGTCGTAAAGAAGTCACTGGATGCTGTTTTTACTGGTTTGTCCTGTGGATCCTTGGCCTTCGAAACTTTTTTCGCCGTTGGCCCACACAAGGTCCAAGGTGTGTAGGACATGAGACATGATATGAGAATAAAAAAAATATAATTCACTTAAAAAAAATGAAGAATGTGAAGATGATGTCTTCAGAGTATTCTTGCAGCCACACTGCACATGAGCACGAATTTTAATTTAAATTCTGTTATAGGCACAAACATAATGCACATGCACATGCACTTTGTCAGGAGTATTTTAGTCTCACGCATGCTTTATCTCTTGGGTCACTGGGAAATTTTACATGGCTGCTGTTTTAAATGAGGACAATGCGGTAAAGTATGGAAATATTATTTTTAAATATTCCTGGCTATTATTTATAAACTATTAACTCTAACTCACTTTTTTTACTTCACTTTTATGCAGTTAAATTTCATCAAAATAAACTTTAACTCAATAAGTATAATTTGGGTTATACTGATAAAAATTGTATCATTTATTTTTATAATTGAGCATTTATTAAAAATACTAATTAGCGTATTATCACCCAAATTAGCAAATACGCCGATTAAAAGAAGGAATTATTTTTTAATTAATTGAATCAAAATAACTTAATCTGTAATTATTAAATTTTAATGTTATCTTCTTAAAGATTAATGTTTTATCTTATCATCCGAAAAAAATTTCTTCTTAAAAATTTCGAATGAAAACATAAATTTCAAAATTTAACCATTAAAAGAAAAATAATTCAGCCTTATTTTTAATATTTTCGTGTTGGTATCACCTATATTAGCTAGAACTGGAGCGAGAACATTTCTGAATACACCCTTTGAGCTTATAGGTCTTTTGACCGGCTAGATCAATAAAGATACATTTTATAAAAATGTTTTAGTAATTTATAGGTCACAAGCTTTAAATTTCATGTCGGCATTTATATATTTTAGGGAAATAATTATTTTTCTAATAAATCTCGATAAGAATTAAGAAAAATCTGTTGCTAGAAAAAGCCATCTGGCCGCCAGAATAAAAGATCGGATTTCTGAAGAAGAAAAAGAGAAGATATTATTTTATCTTCGATAAAGTTTACAGCGCGCTTTAAACTTATAAAATTCAAACGATTTTGTTGTTCTATACATTTTTAATGGCCACCTCTTATTATCTTATCATCTTTGAACTTCTAATAAAATTAAAGTAAATGTTTGAATCAGCTTTATTTTTAGAACTTACTCATCTAATTAAGACTATGTTTCAACTATTGTACTTATACTTCATACTATAGTACAATTTCTAGATAATCAATTAAAAAATTAGATTCATGATAAATCAAAACTAAGTTAATTATTACTTTATCAGGATTAATGATCAGTTTGATACTTTAAAAAAGTATTTTTTATTAAAAATGAGAAAGAAATTTGAACTTCAAAATATTTTATTGAAAACTTTAATTATAACAATAAAATTATTTAAAATTTTAGATAAAATCTAGAGGTTCATTTTTTAGTAGATTTTATAAAAATCTAACTATTGTATTTGTCCTCATGACGTAAATTTCCATAAATTTTGCTATATTTTGACCTAACTCGACGAACTGAGTCAGAAAATACATATGGTTCGAAAGTTTATATATGTATATATATATATATATATATATATATATATATATATATATATATATACATATATAAACTTTCGAACCATATGTATTTTCTGACTCAGTTCGTCGAGTTAGGTCAAAATATAGCAAAATTTATGGAAATTTACGTCATGAGGACAAATACAATAGTTAGATTTTTATAAAATCTACTAAAAAATGAACCTCTAGATTTTATCTAAAATTTTAAATAATTTTATTGTTATAATTAAAGTTTTCAATAAAATATTTTGAAGTTCAAATTTCTTTCTCATTTTTAATAAAAAATACTTTTTTAAAGTATCAAACTGATCATTAATCCTGATAAAGTAATAATTAACTTAGTTTTGATTTATCATGAATCTAATTTTTTAATTGATTATCTAGAAATTGTACTATAGTATGAAGTATAAGTACAATAGTTGAAACATAGTCTTAATTTGCTTGTCACGACGATAGCGTCAACAATTCTTAAGGGATCTTAATGAAACAACATATTTATTCTATCGACTATTAGGAAGGTCAAGTTCAAATATGAGCTTAATCGGTCATATAGTTTAGAAATTACACCAGTTCAAAATTTTGAAATTTTAAAAATTTGATACTTTCACTACTTTTCCTTCAAATAACTTTTGAACGCGTCGAGTTATTCAATTTCTGTAGAATGCATTTAAAAGCTGAGAATTTAAGCTTCAATTTATGTGCTCAAATTTTTTTCTGAAGCAAAAAAAATTCATCTTAGGATCATTTTTAAGAAATTTTACTCTTGCAGTCGTTTTGTCTATACAAAACTGACTGAAAAGTACTGAAGTACAATAATTCTTCTCTTTCTTCATTAAACGTTATTTTTTTTTGTTTTTAATCCTAGTAGTTTTTAATTTTATTCATCATGAAATCTACTTCCATTTCGGCTGCCGAATGGCCTTTTTTTTTATAACGCAACAACAAGTTTCTTATTTCAATTAAAATTGAAGATGATTAGACAAAATAATAATTACAAATAAATTTATTTTTGTTGGTCGCTTACCAAAACGGAGCACTGATGTCAACAAGTCATTGAATCATATCATACATTAAGAACAATGTATTTTTTCGGAACATTAGATTTAATTGCAAGTAATTTAATATTGTCGGTCAAATGGTTATCCATCACTTTGGCGAGTCAAATAGACCCGTTCAGCCAAGAATAATTATTTTACTTGGCAACAGACAAAGAGATAATTCACGTATAATTTTCTCTCGTAGATGAGAGTACTACCGGAACCCAAATGATCTGTGGTATCTAACAATAATTTGACCAAGATGAATCATAACGATCTCTAAACTCTTTTTATCATTCCGAAATCTTCCCCGAATAACTTATCAAGTGGTCTTTATTGTCCTCGCTATGATTGCCAATTAAATGTGTTGGACATCAATGACATCCTGTTTCAACTTTTAATGAAATAACAAAACCACTGTAAGCTTGTGTTCATATTTTATGACAGTGTAGTACTATTCTTCAATACTACGAATCGCGTGATTCCTTTTTTTTAGGAAGTGACTAATTGTAGGCTTGTACGATTCTACAGTTATATATGTTACATGTATTATATGCGACGTGGAATATAGGGTGTCCTTGAAACTTCGAGATACAATAGAATTTGAATCGTTACAGTTGGACTTGCGCTAATAAAATTCTCTTCAAGGAGTGTATAGAAAGCATCGATCGCAATATTTCACTATATCAATTGAAGTTTTGTTTAAACTTTTTGAGTTTAAGTACTTTGCTTTTTAATTTTATCATTTATAAAAAAGCTATTTTTACAATTTTATTTTATTTTTTGTCTAGAAATTTCTTATTTTTTGTCTTGAATTTTGTCTTAAATATTTTAACCTTTTGTCTTTAAGTTTGTCTCTCCTTTTAATTTTAACTAATTAGGTGTTAAAATTTCCAAAAGTGAAATTTTTACATCCTGATATTATATTGAGTATCATAAATATAAAAATGCCTGTTATTATAATTATTTATAAAAATAGTAAACAAGTAAAGCAAAGACAATTTGCTTAATATTACATTCGAGATTGATAATATATGTGTTTTGTTTTATGCTTATGAATTTTTATAGAATTCGAACTTTTTAAATAAATAAAAAATTTATATATAACTTGAAAAATGACTTTCTCGTCGTGAAAGTGATTCTAAATCACCCTGTATTGTTGAAATTCATTACTAAAGTATTGTAATTTTTTAATTATAAATTAACTTTTAGACTACCATAATAATTTAATGTTAAACAAAAAAATTTCTAAGAGAATTTAATGGTTGTAAACAACTGTCGTTAATAATGTAAATATTTTTGCTCGTAATAAATTAAAAAAATCATTGATTGCTCTCGGTTGAAAGATAATACTTTAATAATTCTATATAATTTTGTTCAATTAAATTTTATTTCAAAACATCGTTAATAGACTATGAATAACATTCGGCACCTGTTAATATAAGATATTCTGAGTAAATTTCGGCAATAACTGAGCTTAGTTTTTGTACAGTGAATTTATTAACGATATCTATCTGATAAATTCAACTTACTTTGAAAATATGAGTAATATTTTGAAATATAATAAATTATTTCAAAAATTTTAAAACTTGTTTATTTGTAACATTTTACAATATTTAATTTAAAAAAATTAAATTATCAATATAATCAAAAATTTAAACTTGCGTGCTTATAAGTAATAGCTTTTTCAATTAACTATTTTTAAGAGAAACTCATAACGTCATTTATTCCCTAGGTCCATATAATAATTAAATTTCATTAAGAAGAAATTATAAATTTATAATTATAAAAAACTCTATTTTAGAACAAGTTTATTTCAGAGCTTTCTAACACAATAATAATGCAAAGGTTGTTGTAATATATAATTATTGTGTGTAAAAATATATCAAAAGTACTGTAAAGAGTAAAGTGTAAATAGACGATTAGGATTGACTTTATGACGCACGAATGAATAATAATAACCTTGAACTTCAAGACGTGATAATTCACAGCTGGCTCGCGTAGCTGGAACAAACTCGCGACAATTTTACTTCTATTCGCAAACATAGCCGCCATTCTTGTTTTTGTGAGCGCTATACCTCGAAAGCACTTATTAACTTACAAAAAATGTCGGTTAAGTGTACTTAAATGAAAAATTTTTCGCAAAATAATATAATTTTATTATTCTTGGATTATTAATTTATAAAAATGAATAAAATTAATTTATGATATTAAAGTTAGCTGTCACTTAACCATTTTTTAATTTTTTCTAACAAATAAATTTTTTCCAAAAAATTATTTTAAAAAAATTGCAATTTTTATTTTTTTTTAATTTTTACATGTCAATTTTTTTTTCAACGTTTTTTTTTGCCATAATTTTTTTGTTAAAAAAATTCTTAAAATTATAAAATATCTGCTAAATTAATTTTCATAATTAATTTAAACAATTGGAATTTTCTTATAAATAAATTGATCAGATAAAAAAAATGTTATATTTATGAATGACCTATTTAAAATGTTATTTAATTTTTTTTCTTAAGAATTGAATCTGTAATGATCGGCAATCTCTTCACGCAACCTGACCCTGAACTTTGTTAATAAATTATTGCAGACAATATTGATGTTTCCTTCGTGATATAATACCATTGATAAGTGTAATCACACTGGCATTAAAAATATAAAACAAAGAGCAATTAGTTATTACTTAATTACATATTTATTTAATAAAATTAAATAAGTATAATATAATAATAATAAATAAATAATTAATTTGTTGATTTAATTAATATTTTTTTGGCATCTTAATATGTTGTTTTGTTTAACGCACGTGGCATTAAAGCATTCTTAACTCTTCATCTCACACCTTACTTATTGTACAACGACATAGATATATAATGGATTATAAAATATGCACATATATATAATATGAACACATACTTGCGTACGTCCACGAGCAATTTAATCACACGAGACGTGACAGTTTTACCACGCATTGGTCAATATCATTTATAGCCTCGTTGCCAAGCAAGTTTCTCGTCGTCTACTGAGTAATTGCATCAATAACTCCGCGTTAATCACAACATGTACGTAGGCAAATATATTGCTTACACATTGTACTGCTTAACTTAGCTTCTTCCTAAATTTATAACTCTATTTCAAATAAATACTCCATCCGCTATGTATTTTCCTACGGCACATATTTATTATCAGTTGATTTTTAATTAATAAAAATAAAAGTTACTGATATGTAATTATAAGGATGATGTGATTATATGTATAAATTTAACACGTGTACCGCTTATTGATTTAAATTTCATACCTATTTGCTCTAACGTTAACACGGTTATCTGCTTCGGATTACCGATCAGTCCCTTTAAACCTTGTAATATTACCTTACCTGATGTTTCGTTATATCGCATTACTCTTCCCTACTTTATTATTGATCCACATAAATAGATACCGCTTATTAAATAATCTATTTTAGAATTTTTTTTTTCTACGTACTAAATCTACGCAAGTTAGTGTCCTGGACACTCCCATGACTTTTAGATTTTTTAATTATTAAGTGAAACAATATTGATAGATATCTTTTTAATTAAATTTGTTAATATTATTATTATTATCTATATTATTAAGAGAATAAGCAAAATTTTGTGGCCAGTGTATTTATATGATAAAATCGGTTTTTTTTCTAATGAAATTTAGTGTCATTGCAAAGATCTTGATTTGAATTTGTGATTTTTCAAGATTTCATTTCAATCTCACCGATAGTCAATTTATTTAAGAAATTACCCTGTATCTCGTGAATTATTGACATTTTTAATAATATAAGCTCATCCCGATGTTACACTCCTCAAAACCTTTCATTTAAGTACCCACATCAATTTTTCATATATTTCATATATTTATATATATTATATATATTTATATATGAAAAATATATCAAAAATGCATGTGGGTACTCAAATGGAAGCTCTTGATAAGTGTAACATTAGGATGAGCTTACATCTTTAAAAATATTAATAATTAAGAAATGACTTTGTATCTTCTCAACTACTGACATTTTTAAAGATATAAACTCACCCCGATATTACACTCTTCGAGACCTTTCATTTGAGTACCCACATCAATTTTTCATATATTTTATATATTTATATATATATTATATATATTTATTTATGAAAAATATATCAAAAATGCATGTGGGTACTCAAATGAAAGCTCTTGATGAGTGTAACATCGGGATGAGCTTATATCTTTAAAAACATCAATAGTTAAGAAAGTACAGTGAAATTTAACAAAAGTCATTATTTAATAAAGCAAAATTTTATTTATTTATAGTTTACAAGTCGCGAAAGTCACATAGTAACTGCAAGGTTGCTAGTTATTATTATATAAATTGTTATTAAATTAAAAAACTAAAACCAATTTATAAAATTCACAAATCAAGTTTGAAAGCATGCGATACATCTTCATAATTCATTAGTAATTAAAAAAAGATAAAATTTATCAAAAGTGCGTGCGTAAATTAAAACAAAAATTTAATATATAATACCAATTTAAAAAGTTGATTACAAATAAAAAAAACAATATTATTTGGCAGTTGTTTAATCAATGTCGCACGGGAAAATTTTCCATGGTTACGTTTATTCCATCAGTTAGCTTCAAGCTGGTCGCTAAATATTCAGCTCCACAATTTTAATGTTTTAAAAGTTTTGATTAATTTTTTTATTTATCAACTCACTCGTAAAATTAATTATCCGGTTAAAATTACTGTATACAACGAAACAATTTTAATTATTCAGCATGCTCAAGTTTCCACCGACGACGCCACAGGATCTCAAGGTCGCAGCTTGCATTGAGCGAAAACGACGAAATCAAGAGGCTCGAAAACAGAGAATATTCGATCCACGATGCCAAATTGGGGTAAGTTGGCAATTACCTTATCAATAATTTGAAAAAAATTCTATAAAAAATACAAAGAAGAAATAATCTTTCTAACAACTCAGCAGTAAGATTCTTAAAGAAAGATTAATGCGCATAAAATTGATAAATATATGAGAAGTATAAATGATAAGAAACATGTTATGTGAAGAAAAAAAAATTTTTTAAATAAAATGATATCTTAGGTTTCATTAATCTTTCATACCGGAGCGATTAATAAATATTAAGTTTTTTTTTTTTTTGCAAACGACTAATGTATCTCGGATCTCGAATTTTAAATCTTGAAGAATTATATTTATTTATGCAACTATAAAAAGGGTTGTACTTTTTTCAATGTAATTTATTTATTTGAGTAAAAAATGGAGGTGATTGTTTATTTACTCAAAGTTTGTTTACATTGGTACTGCAGATAGACAAAGAGTTCTTGGATTGGCAGATAAAAGAAAAAGAGCGACTGCGTCAGCAAGAACGAGAACAAGAATGCCGGATGGATGAAGCGCTGCTGCGCAGCAGTAAATTCGCAATGATGCTTGAGAAGCGGGAAGAGGAGGTTTGTCATGCTCATGATTAAATTTTTTTTCTCATGCAATCCCCACGCATTATCTTCTGCAACTGATATACTCCATAGCGTCCCTGCACTGACACGACATTAAAAAATCTATTCAAGCTGATACTTGATAGCTAAGAGAGGAAAAAAAATTTATATATTTACGTTTTGTTTTAAAAAACAACTCAAGTGTTTATTATTTATGTTTATGATATTTCTTCATTAGATTTTTCTTTTTTTTTAACACATTATTTAATTGAAAATTATTAGAAATTTTGTTAAGCTATAATTAGAAGTTTATTTATATAAAGATAAAATTTTAGACATTTGATACAGAACGCTTAGAGGTACAGTGAAGACTATATTTTTTTTTTTCATTTTTAAATGAAAATTATTAGATTAAAAAAATTTTATTAATTTATTTTTAAATTAACAATTTTTATTTTAAATATTAACTCTATACAAAATGTAAATCAAATTATTATTTGTTATTATTCATTTCTTCAATTAATTTCAATAATTCGAAATTATTATTTCTTCAATTAAAAAAAAATTTTTTTTTATTTTTACTTTATAAAATCTAAATAAAATTATTTCTTCAATTAAAATTTTTTTTTTAATTTTTACTTCATAAAATATAATTAAAATTATTTCTTCAATTAAAGAAAATTTTTTTTTTCAATTTTTACTTCATAAAATATAATTAAAATTATTTCTTCGATTAAAAATTTTTTTTTTAATTTTTACTTTATAAAATCTAAATAAAATTATTTCTTCAATTAAAAAAAAAATTTTTTTATTCTTCAATTAAAATTTTTTTTTTAATTTTTACTTCATAAAATATAATTAAAATTATTTCTTCAATTAAAAAAAAAATTTTTTTAATTTTTATTTCATAAAATATAAATAAAATTATTTCTTCAATTAAAAATTTTTATTTTTTAATTTTTACTTCATAAAATATAATTAAAATTATTTCTTCAATTAAAAAAATCTATGTTATGAAATAACTTTTTTAAAATTATGAAATTAAATAAAAATTAATTTTCAATATAAAATTTGTAACTTTTATCAGTAATAAGACTTCTAACTTATTCGATTACTTATTTATTTAAATAAAAATTTGTTAGTCATTAGAACTACGTTTCGTCACCTTTGTGACATCTTCAGATTTTAAATTAACAAGAATACTATACATGTAAAAGTAAATTGTATTAAACATTGAGTAGATTTAAATCAACACGTGCAGGCAAATGGAAACTTTTAAAATATTTTCTGATAACTTAACAATTAAAAATGTTTGAATTTATTCTAAATTTAATATCTAAAACATACAACAAAATTGTTCTATTTTAATTATTGGGTAAATGAAAATAATTTTAACAAATGCACACCGATTCTTAGAACGAGCAATTAATTCTAGAGCAACGATCTAGTTTTACAGTTTGTAAAGGCTTAATTAATGTTCTAGGAAAAGAAGAAGATAAATCGTGATATAAATTCATACCGGCAAATCTATCAACGTCCGCAGGATCGTCGCGACTTTGATCTTTACGATCCGGATAATTTGAAAAAATCATTACCAGGTCGGCTAGCGGATGATGATCCGCGAATTGGACCTTCTTCTGCTCAAAAGTTTGCATAAAAAATTTTAAAAACAAACATTATAAACATAATTGATTTTTTATTATTAAACACAGATTTGAGGGTGAAGATCTTGAGCAAGTAAAAAGACGGAGCAGAGATAAAGAGCAGATGCAATCGAGTCTTATGCAGCAGGTGTACGAGAAACAGAAAAACAAACAAGAACAACAACATGCTGATGAATCTCTTCAACGAATGATATTATCTAGGGACAGACGTGCGATCGACCTTGAACGAATGGAAGAAGAATGCCGAAGAAAACTTAATGAAGCTAATGCACAGTTTAATCGTGCCCTTGTGAGTTTTATCTTTTATTTATTGTTTAATAGTTAGAATAATTAGATTATTGAAAATGGAAAATTTTTATTGTTTATTTATTTATTACTTATATGTGATGCTGAATAATTTATTTGTTTAATTGAGGCTGAGGAACAGGAGTACCGTAATAAATATGAGGCAATAAAAGATGAAGAAGACAAACGTGCTGAGATTTACAATCACCTTACCGGTGATTTCCTAACAGAAGCCCGTGAACAAGCTCTAAGTCATTGTGGGCCAAGTAAGTTACTTGCCTATCGATACAAAGGCATGACATCTGACGAGTTAAAGGCAATATGGAATGAACAAGCTCACCAGATGAAGGAAATTCAGGTCAGTTTTAAAATTCAACCGGTTTTCTTCTTTAGTTGCAATTGGAAACAATAAAGGGTTTGTTCATTTATTATCTGTATTATTATATGAAGAGAATAAGAAAAAATTTATAGTCAGTGTATTTATATGATAAAATCGGTTTTTTTTAGTGAAATATAATGTCATTGAAAAGGTCGACTTGAATTTGTGCCTTTTCAAGGTTTCATATCATTCTTATCGATCGTAAATTTCTTATGATAAGTATTTAGGCTGCATTTGAAAATGCTCCATCTCTAGATACATAATTAAGAAATGACCTTGTATCTCGTGAACTATTGACATTTTTGAAGATATAAGCTCATCTCGACAATACACTCATCGAGACCTTTCATTTGAGTACCCACATCAATTTTTCATATATTTTATATATTTATATATATGATATATATGTATATATGAAAAATATACCAAAAATGCATGTGGGTACTCAAATGAAAGCTCTTGATGAGTATAACATCGAGATGAGCTTATATCTTTAAAAATATCAATAATTAAAAAATGACCTTTTATCTTGTGAAATATTGACATTTTTAAAGATATAAGCTCATCTCGATATAGGCCTCATCAAGACCTTTCATTTGAGTACCCACATCAATTTTTCATATATTTATATAAATCGTATATATGTATATATGAAAAATATATAAAAAATGCATGTGGGTACTCAAATAAAAGCTCTTGATGAGTGTAACATC